ACACACACACACACACACACACACACACACACACACACACACACACACACACACACACACACACACACACACACACACTTTTTCTAGAGTCTCTTCTTCTCCACTCCCTTTGCTTGAGGTTGAGAATTTCCCTGAAGAATTTTCTTATTTTTCCCAAGACTCACCTCTGAATCTCATTTTCTTTCTCTTGGATTTTCAGAAGTAGTTCCTGGTTTGCTTCATCTATCCTCTGCATATCCTTTTCGAGGTCCATGTTCAAGCTGATAATGTTCTTCTTTGACTGGGCCAATCTTAAGATCTGACATATTTTTTCTGACCTATAGATTCAGCCCCACAATAAGCAGGGCCAATTATTTCCAGAGCAAAGATCCCCAGGCCAAGGGGGATATCTGACAGACCTGGAATTTACCAAACCTGTTCTTTCTGGGCACATGCTTTCCTTCCCCACTCTTGAGAACTGATTATTTTTTAACCATGCATACAATTTGTCAATAATTCTCAACTCAGCAAGGGACATCTTTTCCAGACTGTCCCTTCCCAAGTGCAGATAATACTGCATGCATCTCCATTCTGGCTTTGTGAGAAGCTTTGCTTCCTTAAATAGTCTCTACCATTGGAGAGAATTGTTTCCCTTGGCAACTGTTTTGCAAATTGTTCTCAAAACCTGTGCATGTAATACTTGTATCGAGTATTTTTTTTATCACTTCTGCTTTGTTGTAGCATTATATAGAGCAAAAATTTCCATGAGCATGTTAGGACTTAAATCTTAAAAATGAGAGGCTTATAGTGAGTAGTTTTCCTTTTTCTTACATGTAAGTCAATTCATTGTTTTGTTCTTGAAGTTGTTACGGGGTAATAAGGCTCAGGGACTTTTGCTTTATTTAGGAGTGGAATATGATATTGGAAAATAAAGTGATGTTTTTAATAGTTTAGATGAGAAAGTCATAATAGGTTTTTCTTTGTAGAGAGCTGGAGTGCTTGGGAAAGGGGCGGGGGGAGGGGACGAGTGGATGGAGACTTCCTGGGTGTGGATAGCTCATCACGATTACTTACTCATTATCTAGCTGGTCTTCCTTGTGTTCTTCCATTGTAGATGCCCTAAAATGCCAGTAGAGATGTATCTATCAACTGGGGATATGAGTCCATTCCTGAAGTAAAGAAGTCTCCCTAGATACAAAAGAACAGTTTTCCTTTCTCTGATTCCCCATTTTGGTCATGACAAGCCCTAGACGTCCATGTTGGTCCTGATCTGTGTTGCCTTAGGAAGGGAACAGTGAGGATACAGAGTGATGCTGGAAAAGTCAATTTCCTGTGATCAGGTACATACAGAGATTGTGGACTTGGAATTTGATGAGGTAAGAGGAAGAACAGAGGCTATCAGTTCCTCCCAAGTCCCTCTTCCTTTTAGCTCAGTGGCTTTCCGTATGGCTCCAAGGGCCCCAGTGTCTGCGTCCCGTGTCCTAACACATCACCTCTGCGCTCCAGCTTGGCCTCTGCAGGCCAGTCAGTGGATTCCTTGGCTTTATACAGAGGGCTCAGAAAACCCAGCTGTCCCTTCCCCTGCTCATTTCTCTCCGTCCCACTTTCTCCTCCAGACTCTACCTCTCCTCTGATGTGTTTTGTTTTCCTGGCCCTGCCCTAGTCAATTAGCTTCTCAAGAGTCTACGCTTCTCCCAGTAAAGCCCTCTAGTAGAATCTCGGAACGTTTGAGGGCAGCCACTCTGCTGCTGACCTGGGGTGGGGCAGCGTGTCACAGTGGGGGGGGGGTCAGGCTTCTCAGCGTCTCTGCAGTCAGTGCCTCTGTGAGGGTGTGGGTTTCACAGCACAGGCTGTCCCAAGTAAGAAGCTTCTGCGCGTCAGACAGGCAGCCTTTATCACCGTTTCTCTGCTGGCCAGGCTTCTTTCTTGCTCCATTTTGACTGAAGTGGGAATTCCTTGTCTTTTGGCTGAAATTCTCACTGATCTGGCTTGATCTTATCTGCACCCAAAAAATGCCAAACTCATTTAACAAACTAAGACTACTTTGTCAGTCATATTCTAAGAAGTAGGGAAAGAGTAAATGAAACAGTCCGAAGTGTTTGCCCTCACAGAGTTCATTTATTAAGGTGTGTGTGTGTGTGTGTGTGTAATACAGTAGCAACAAAATAAGCCCATTTATTTAATATGATAAAAGAAGAACGAGATGAAGAAACAAAGAGGTGAAGAGGGCAGGAGAAAGGATGTGGGTTGTGTGTGTATATGTGTAGGTTTTACAGCTTTAAATTGAGGAGTACAGTGAAAGTGGTTGGGTCTCCCCTGGCCTGGAAGTGGGGTGTAGATGTGGGTGAAGAGGCTTGCTGGTCAGAAGGAGACTTTGGATTGTGCAGAACTGGATTCAGAGTCCAGCAGGTCTGGGGGCACCAAAAAGAAGAAGGAAAACTCAACAGTTTTTCCGGCAAAAGCTCAGACTTACATGGCTTTCCCTGCACCTGCTGCCATACGTATCTTCCATACATGCAAAAGCTCAGACACACACAGCTTTCCCTGAGCTAGTCCGCATCCTGGGACCTAGTAGAGCTCTGGAGAGGGAGAAGCTCCCTAAAAGACCGAGAAATTACCTACAACAGCTTTTTAAAATGGGAAACGTCTGCCATAGCTTAAACTGGCTTCATCAGGTCTTTTCTTGACATCTTTGGGAAGGCTCTGTTACAGTGCGTTCTTTACACCTGAAGGTGTGTGGCCGGATTCTGTACTATTTGGAACTTCTTGTCTTTGAGTCATAGAAAGCTGTGAAGTTTTAGATCTCTACTTAAGGACCAAGTTGAGGAGATTTGTGAACCAGAGTGACTTCTTAACATACTGTAGTTTCTAACAAACTATTTGTAAAATTAATGGCCTCTGATGACCCCCATTACCATCTCCCTTCTTCCTGAAAGAAGGCATTTCGTTGCTTTATGAAGCTGTACACAGAAGAGTAATTAAGTAACAATTCAGGCCAATGGCCTCTCCCAGGAATTAATGGTAGGGAGAGTTCATTAACCCCAGCTGGTTACAGCTTCTCTAGGAAATGCCCCAGGCCAAGGTTATCGGCTGTTAATGGATTGGACAGGGACTTTAACTGGGATAAAAATAAAGCTCTGTCTCTTTCCTGGGGAGCTTTTCTCCTTGAGGGGCTACCAAAGGCAAGCCCGAGGAACTGCAGGACCTCCAGGGCTGGGCCTGGTGTGGCAAGGACAGCAGATTGCTACCGGTGAGAATTGTTAAATCAAGGCAAAAACAAGGCCTTTGGGGCAAATTAAGGTCTTTGATCTAAACCTTCCTGCAGGTTAAGAGATGGCTTAATTAATGCCCTCCGCAGCTTCAGAGCAGCTGTTTTCCTTGTTAATTTCCCTGTGTCCTATCTTGTCCTGTGCTGTGCAGTCTCTGAGAGCCATTTTGCTTTTAGCTCGATGGGCAGTGCTGCTGCCGTTGTGGCAGTGTGCACGTGTGGTGGGGTCCCCTGCCCTGTTTCCAGGCTACACCTTGCAGCTCTGTTTGCTGGGTCTTGGCTCTTGTGCTGTGTGGGGACTGGCCCAGTCCACCCCATCTCCCAAGCTCCCCTGGTCCGCAGAGCTGCTTGTGGGCGATGGAGAGTGGCCTGGCTTCCCTTGGGGCCCTACCTGCAAAATTATCTTGGATGTTTGTAGACGTGAACCTTAACCAGCTGAGTCCAGAATCTTATTTTAACTTTACATACAGATTGAAATACCCAATTACTTATGTGTTTTCTTATTTTTAGTGAGTGTTTTGAACAGACTTTAGGCTTATGACATCTATTTGAATTTCAGAATACTTTTCCTCTAGAATTCACAGAAGCAGAAACTTGAATGACACCGAAATGTATGTGTGTGTGAAAGGGAGGTGAGGAGAGGTGGGGAGACGAGGAGGGGAACAGAGAAACACACACACACACACACACACACACACACACACACACACACTCATTCAGAGAGAATGTAACCATTAGTTAATAGTGTCATTTGGCCTAGGTGCTTTTTATTTTAATTTTATATGAGTCAAAAATTGAATTTAGTTATGAGCTGTTTGCACCTGAGTTTTCCTGTGTCCTCCATGCCCTTTCTCTGTTCCCAGCTACTCCTCTCACACCCACACCAGTCACATTGGGTTAGGGTACCCATATGACCTGATTTTTCCTTCATTGCCATTTTAAACACTCTTTCTCATTTTAAAGTAATGCAGTGAGGACATCACATAAGAATTTTGGAGGATGCAACTTGGTCATAACACAGCCTTCAGTGTCTGGCACACGTTAGACCTCAGCAGCCACTGAGCCGTGGTAGAGATCATGAACATGCGGGTCGATCCCTGGCCCCTCTTACAGAAGCTCTGCTGTGGACAGATGTGTTGGGAGATGTGTTCAGGAGAAGAGCACATGCTTACTACAGGAGGCCCTGGGTTCAGCCCTGGCACACCCTTCCCCAAAGAACATGTTTGTGGGCGTGTCCAGAAGGGGCCAAGTCCAGTCAGTGCCCTTGCTTTATAGACACCCCCTCTCACAAGCACCAGGTCACTCCCTGGAATGAGCAGTGGTCCTTTCTGAGGGCTTTGTCCCAAGTGACATAATTACTTTCCACTAGACCCCATCTCTCAAAGGTATAACCACCTGCCAACACTTCCTGGGTAGGGGAGCAAGCTGGATTCCAGCACATGAACTCCTGGATGGGACGCATCCATACCATAGCAGGGCCTCACACCACTGAAGCCGTGGGCCAGCATCTTCACCTGGGGATGCCAGCCTCTGGGACCGTAAGAAACATTTATTTAGGTGAAGGAGCTTATGATATTTTATTGTAACAGCTTGACTTCTTTTATTCTGATGATGTACTTGTGCTTCCTTCCTTTGACCAGGGTTTTCCTTTCCTTCAGTTTCCAGGCTGGATTAAGGCTTGTGAATGCAGTTATAATTCTGCATTCCTCAAAGCCTGGCCCCACCTAGTTCTCGCACATGGCTCTCAGGTCTGTGCCCAGGCTTCCACATTTCTGTTTATTTGTAAAACAGACCCGTCTCAATTGCCATTTGGTTGATTTGATTGCTGCTTCACGTCCACCCGGCCTCCTAGTAGCTCTCTAGATCTCAAAGGCTTCCAGGGAAACCAACCAACCCTGTGCTGCCCAATCCGATTCTTAATTTCTGCCTCTTCCCAGGTTGTATTTCAGTGTTGTTTCTGATATACTCTTATTGTAATGGTATTAGTGTGTACATTGGGGTAATTACGATGAAGTGAGAAAAGGGACTTCAGAATCAGATGCAGTTTGAAAATTTATTGATGGGATGTAACCTGGTGACATTTAAGCACATACATCATTTTAGAGAGCTATTGTCATAAATAACATGTCTTCTCAAAGACTGGGTTAAGCTACTGCTTGTAAGGAAGGGTAATTCCCTTTAAAGCTGACCTTTTTACCCCAGTGTGAATTGATTTTTGAGTCCTTGTAATATCTAATAGACTTCTTTCCTCAGAAAATGTAAATAAACAAGGAAAGATTAAATTTTCTTAAGCTAATTTTAGTTTTGAAGAAAACATCTTTGAGGTTCAATTCAAGATAATTTTGGAATTCTAAACAGGTTTTATAACCTCTATTGGCTAGGATCTGTATTTACAGGATCCATAAAGCTTTTAAGGTATCATTGATATTGGAACAATAATGACCCTAGGACAGGGTATTTCCTGGAGATTAATGACCAGCTGGGAGGGGTTGATGGCCTGAGGTGTAGTTGAGGGCCATTAACCTCAGACAGTCATTAAAGCCCAGGAAATGTCCTATGTCTAGGTCGTTATTGTTATTATAAATTGAAAATAGAAAAAAGAAACAGGCATACAGATTATTTGAAGGCTGATTCCATTTCCAGTGGCTTGAACAGGGAGTGTTCTGGGAGAATTTATTCCCCCATCCATTAGCCAACACGTCTCCCTGAGTCTGCTGTCACTGCACCCTTTGGTGGATGGTTCTTTGCGCAGGAAATCTCTGACTTCCCCAGCGCTGGAGTAGAGAGGACCATGCTACTTTGCAGCTGCGTTTGCTGAGCGTGACGGGCGGATAGAGAAAG